GGCAACCAGATGAGACCCACCCACCAGCATCTGTGTCCTTATGCTTTGCCTTTGCTCCCAGCACAATGGAAGAATAAACTCTACAAAGGCCAACCCCTCCACCTGTGCACTAGAATTCATTCTCTCTTCCACTCAGTTATATTTCTCAAACAATTCTCTCTTGTCTCTCTCACATCATCAGATTTCCTCCTCTTCTGTATCTTTCCTATCAAAGAACAAACATGCCAACCCTACTCTTCCCTTCCCCCACCAAACAGAAGCATAAAACCTCTCTTGACCTTACCTCCAGTTATTATCCTATTTTTCTCCTTCTTTTCATTGCAAAACTCATCAAAGGAGTCATCTATATTCATTGTCCAAGTACTTTTGTCCCATTTTTCCTGAATCGAATCCAAATAGGCTTTGCCTCCCACCATTGCATGAAAATAGCTCTTGTCAAGATCCTTCTCACTGCTAAATTCAGTGTCCAATAATTCTCTGTCCTTATTTTTCTTAAACTCTCAGCAGCACTGGATATAGTAGATGGCCCTCCTCATTGAAACACTTTCTCCCAGGATCTCTTGGTTTCCTTCTATTTGATAGATGCTTTTTTCAGACTCTTTTGCTGGTTATTCCTCACCTCCCCAGCATCTTAACATCAGAGAGCTCCAGGCTTCAGTTCTTGGATTTATTCTCTTCTCTAGCTATACTCACTCCTTGGTGATGTCATTCAGTCTAGTGGCTTTAAGTATTGTCCATACACTGAAAATTTATATTTTGAATCCAGACCTCTCCTCTGAACTCCATATTGGTATTTCTACTCTCTATGTCACACCTCCACTTAAATGGTAAGTGGGCACCTGGAACTTAACATGTCCAAGACTGAACTTATAATTCTCTCCCCCAAATCAACTCCTCCCTATTTTCAATGCCAGTTAATCATACAAATATGCTTCTAGTTTCTCAGGCCAAAACATTTGACTCATCTTTTACTTCTCTCATAATCTAAGTTGTCAGTAAATTCTTTTGGTACTACCTCCAAAATCTATCCTGAATTCAAACATCTGAACAACTCCACCCTTACAACCCTAACTCAACTCCCATCATCCTTCACACTGTGTTACTGCCTCCTAACTGCTCTCCTGACTTCCACTCTTGCCACCAACACTCTATTCTCAACACAGCAGACAGAATGACCATGTTAAAACATCCGTCATGTCACATTAGCCTGCTCATAATCCCCCATTGGCTTCTTCTTTCTATTAGAGTAAGTCCTATAAGATCCTCTATGAACTCTTTCTGTGAGCACATCTCCTACTACTCACACCTTGCTGGAATATGCCATGCACACATTTGTCTCATCATTTATTGAAGTTTTACTATATTCTCCCCCGTGTATATTTTTTCTTCCTCCATTTCATGCAAGAAGTCTGGTTCTTTGGGTCTCCTTTGCCTCAGATTACCTTACAATTATACTTAGGCTGAACTTTTAAATTTAAAAATATTTTATTTTCCTAAACCATGCCATTGAAGAGATTATGGTAGCTGACCATAATTATGGTAGAAAGAGGGTAGAATATTTTTAAGAATTAGCAAAGAATAGAACAGCAAGCCCACAATTGAGGAAGAAGTGGAAATTTGTGACAACTAGCAGGAAAACCTGTTTCCTGTCAGCTCTTGGGGTGTGGCAGGACCACATCCGTGGACCAGCTGAAGAGTGCACTAGGGTAGTGGATTGAAATCTCGCCATTGGGTTCTGGCTTCAGTAAAGATGCTGAAGCATCTCCTTCTGCTGGAGCAGAAGGAGACCTTAATTCAAGGAACTAATACTAGCTTGAACAGTGAGCATGTCAAAAGTGGCCATGAGGGATGGGAAGTTAGGCTCTACATGAAAGATTCCAGACACTGGTGAAATTTTGAGAAGAAGGGACCCCTGTGACACTTAAGGTTGACATTCCCATCAGCCCAGTGTGTTGGAAACTCAAAGTCTGATTTAATTTAAGAAAATGAAGAGCTAAATGTCTACTGTGAAAGAGGATTCACGACTCTTTCCTAGGTTTCCTTTTACCAGTTTTTCAGAACATAGATTTACAGCATCTGTATTATAAGTTGTTTGAATAATACTGTAATGCTGAATCACTTGGGATTCCAGTAAGGAATATAATAACATTGCATTGTGCATTGATTATATACTTAAAAATTAAAGGTGTTTCAATCTGTAATTATTTTCTCATACAAAAATTTCCAAGTCATATAGTTTTAATTAAAATGGTAAAATTCAAATACCTCAATTCCATCTGGAATAGTGCTAGCAGTGCATTCTTGTAGGCATTGTCAAAATCATCAAATTCCATCAAATAACCCCCAAACCTAGAGCTTTCCTTGTTTTGTAGCCTTGAAACTCTTCAATCTTTTCAACAGAGCAAAATCATGTCAAAATCATGACACAACAAGTCACTCCTGCACTCAAAGCCTTTCAAGTGCTCCTCATTTCACTCTGACTGAAAGCCCAGATCTTTACAACAGTGTACAAGACCCTCTATGAGCGGGCACACTATGTTCCTGCCCATCCAGTCCCCTAATATCCTCCCCAGTAGCTCATTCATCTCCACCTTTTCTGGCCTCCATGCTGTTTGTCAAATATTCCAGGCCTGTTTCTACCTAAGGACCATTGCCTTTGCTAGTCCCTCTACCTGGAACAGTCTTCCCAATACATCCACATTTTCAGCTCTACTACCTCCTAGCTGTGATTTAGAGCAAATGGTTTCACCTTCTATGCCTCATTTTCCCATCTATAAAAGGAGGAAAATAACAATGCTTACCCTAAAGCTTTGTTGGAAGGACTAAATGAATTAACATACCAAGAGTACTTAGAACAGCACGTGGCATAGCGTGAACACTACGAAAGCATTCACTAGTACAATTTGTGCTAAAAGCCCCAGCAGGTATTTTGGATCACCTGATCATCCCTTCATAAAACAATGCTGAAAGTGTTTTTTCTGAGGCACATCAATACATTTTTCCAAATTATAAAATGTAAATTAATATGAATCTTGGTGGTAGAAATAATTCCTAATATAAATTATAATTGTTTACAGAATTCTTCCTCCTAAATTACTAAAACATATTCAACAAATTCATAAACAGAAAACTCTCTCTTCACAAATGTTTGACACCAACGCATACTAACAATGATTTCACTTTCACACTCACAGTAAGGCTTTTATGGCACTGAGATACCTGAAGTGCCTTCTCATTCATGAGAAACATGGAAAATTATCTTCCATATGGATTTAGAAGTAACTATATTTTACTGTGGAACTAATCATTTGAAAATTGGTCACAGCACAGTGGTAAAAATATCTCTAAATGCAGAGCTATTTGTATTCAAATGTTAACTCTACAACTTTACAGCTGTGTTAATGAATAAGCAAGTTTTTTATCCATCCTAAGACTTACTTTCCTCAGCTTTTAAATAGGAGATGATGCTTACTAAGCTTACTTTTCAGAGATGTTTGGAGGATAAAATGAAATAATGTACATTAAAATGCATTTTAAAATATTATCAATAGTGATAAATGTGTTCGGTATTTACAATGTGCCATGCACTGTATTAAATAATTTATATAAATATTCTTATTCTCAGAAAAATGATTATTTTGGAACATACTTTGAATATCCTCATTGTTGGATAAAACTGAATCTTGGAATTCAAGTAACTTGTAATTTAAGGAGATATTAAAATTTCTACACATTAGTATTCTTTCTGAAATGTGTGATTGATCAAGACAATCACTGCAAAATTATATTAGAGATCACAAAATTCACTATATTCAATGTAATACATATTGTGAAATAACTAACACCTATTTATAACATAAAAAATAACTTTTGCCTGTATATTACTTGAAATTAAGTGTACCAATAACAATATAGTAACATGGTATAATTTTTTTTTACTTTCAAACCAAGGCTTTAATGTATAATGAATGTGCTAAAATGTTCTCCCCATTTGTGGAAAAGCAAGAGAGCTAGTTTTTAAGTATTTCTTTCACAGATACACTGTTCAGAATTAATCACAAGTTTTTACATTTTGTAAAACATCTTTTATGTTATCTTTTACAGTTATATTCAATACAGAAACACATTTTACCACAGCACATGTTATACATACAGTATGCATCATAATTTATTGAATGGGGGAGCAGAAAGGAAATAAAAAAACAAAGAAGCAAACAAATACCCTTTTCCGAGTCTTCTCTTTCAGGAAAGGCCGGATCACGGTATACAGGGCATGGATATACCATGGTTGGTTGACAAAATGAATTCCTCCAAATCGTGCTGGGAAACTATCCTAGAGTAACATGGCAGGGAAAAAAAATCAAAACACACTTTAAAACACTGAGAAGGTTTACGGAAGGCCGTATGGTATACAAATTTGTTATTCCGTACACTTAAATGATTATGTGTATAGCTAAGGAGAAGAAAGAAGGAAGAACCTTAGGAAGAACCTTACTGCAATTAATCATTGTAACTTTCATACAGAAACTGAAGCAATATGTAATAAAGCACATCTTTCTCAAGAATAGGTTGTTGATAGGAGTTTCAGCATTTTTAGGAGTGCCATGTTTTAAGCCTGCAAACTGCTAACAGTCATTATAGGCCAAGAAATATAAGTAAAAGGCTTTAGAAATTTGTCAGATAATGAATCTATGTTAGATAAGTGTATATTAAAATGTATTTAAATTAAAATGTTTTATTAAATTTCAATGTAGTTATCTATAATGTGAGGACGGTCAGATATCAAAACTCACTTTATTCTCTTTATTTTATTACCAACTTTACTATAAACACTGTCCTTTCCTTATTCCAACTACCAAAAGAAGGAAACACGCTTAAGCAAAATAAAAACCTGGAATTGTAGTGTAAGAAATTTGCACATGCATTTTGCCAAGTTAAATGAAAGTTAAACCCTCTGAGCTCACCCAACAGGAGGAAAATGGGGCTATCACAAAGCCAGCCTCTCCTTCAGCAAGAACTCAACCACGTAAGGTTTGCACCTGAAGTGGTGTAGAGGTGTTTGCCTCCTTTCTGTGACTAAATAGGTGCATCTCAAGTCCACCCCCAAATCTGAAGAGAATCCCTAAGCTTAAATGTTGTTAAGTTACAACATTTGACAGTGTTACGGATTCTATGTAAATGGACCTAGATTTTGCTACTGGTTCAACATTCCACGCTGAACTGACTACAAAGGTCTCCTTTAAAAAACTGTACCACTAGAAGTGTCTCTTGAGTGGCATCATAATAATTGGCATATATCTAGATTCTACTGAGAACATAAACAGGAACAAAAGAGAAGAAACTGAAATAACTGTAAATCTATTTTCTTAATTTAAATTTTCTCTTGAACGAGATTCAAATGATTTAAAAACACGCATGGTGTAACATCATTAAATTATTTTGTTTTTAGGGGACACTTATGAGCATTAGAAATTAATTAGTGATTTTATATATTGATTTTTAGAGTCAACAAACATTTTTTCTGCAAAAAAATTTCTATCTTTGAGAATAACACACTACGAAAAAACCACAGTTCTTCAAATAATAAATACATTCGTAAGCTGTGTCTTATTTTATGTCAGTATCTTACCTCTTTTATAAATTTGTAACTTTCATTCATCAAGAGTATTACAAAACAGAAATGAATCAGGTAGAAATGCAGACATAGTGTCTTTTAATTTTTTTATTTTTATTTTTTCAGCTAAATATGCTTTTATTTTCATATGAAAAAATACATCTGACTTCCACATAGCAGGTTACTTTTTAAAAAATTTTTATTGGAGTATAGTTGCTTTACAATGTTGTGTTAGTTTCTATTGTACACAGGCATAGAGAACAAACATATGGATACCAAGGGGGAAATGGGCGGGGGGATGAATTGGGACATTGAGGTTGACATATATTCACTATTGATACTATGTATAAAATAGATAACTAATGAGAACCTACTGTATAGCACAGGGAACTCTACTCAGTGCTCTGTAGTGACCTACATGGGAAGAAAATCCAAAAAAGAGGGGATATATGAATCATATATGTATATATGATTCATAGTGTCTTTTAAAATTATGACATTTTTAACATTTTATACATAAAATGAAGATAAATAATGTATATACAATAAAGAGAATACTAATATGTGCCCTCCACTCAGCTTAAGAAATAGAATATAATTGGTAACCTTGAAGATCACTGTATTTATATAGTCTTTCATTTCCCCCACATTTTGAAATTTTACACTGTATTTCAAATATAAGGATTTCTCTTGCTTATATCAATATTTTATATTTTATTTTATAAATGTTATAAATATATTTTTATTTTGCATATTTTATATTTTTGCTATATATATCATATATATGGCATATATATGATTGATATATATATATATATATATATCCCTTAAAACATACTGTTAAGTTTTTTAAGTACTTAAGCTTTATAAAAATGTCATAGTGAATGTGGTCACGTAACAGTGTTTTTGCGGTTCATTGTATTTGAAATTTAAACATGTTGTGCATAGCTATAGTTCATTGTCACTGTTGTATGGCATACCATTGTATGGAACACCACAGTTTATTTTCTTCTGTCCCTACACATTGTTTTCCAAATTTTCGGTTTGTTTTGCTATCACCAACACAGCTGCTCTGCAGACTTCATTCTCAGAAGTGTCTCTTGTGCATGTTCAGGTGTATGTGCAGGGTATTTATCTAAAAGTGTTAACGTTGAGTCATAGAGTGTATACCGTTCAACTTTACAAAATTGTTAGGAGCAAACTGCACCAATTTATACTCCTCTTTCCCCCAGTAATGCAGGAGAGTTCTGGCTGCTCCACATACTACACTTGGTATTATCCATCTGTCTAACTTCTGCCAATCTAGTGGGTGTAAAATAGATTCTCGTGACACTTTAATTTGTTAGTTGCTTGGTCTTTGCTTATTTTAATTCCATCATTAATAACACTGTTTGATAACATAACCATTTTACACAGAGGTATTTTGTTTCTGGGTCCTTGAGGGCCTGAATTTGTTATCTATGCTGGTCTTGTTCATGATATCTTGTTTATGGTGGATCATATTTGGCTAATATTAATCCTTGGGAATCCTGAAAGATCTAGTTTGAGGATGCTTTTCTCCCGACAAGATCTATATTAGCTCCCACTAGGTTCTGTCCCTGGATATGGGAGAGGCAGAGAGGTTCCTTAAATGTTTCCTGGCCAGTAGGGATTTTCCCAGCACAACCTTTCCCTAAGGATGCAGCACCTGGAGGAATGCAGGTTCTCACATCCAGTCCCCAACTTGCCCTCAGTGTGTGCAGGCCTCACGTCTTCTCCTGCCCACTGCACACCCCCAGCAATCATTACTCTCCAAAACTCTAAGTTCCTACAGTCAACATTGGCCTCCAAAACCACTCAAGCTTCCCTTATTCTGTTTCTTTTCAGTAGACTCCATGTGCTTGTCTCTGTTGGGACTTGTTTTATGTTCACCAGAGTTCAGCAGAGCAACTAGACATATTTTCATTGTGATTTATTCAACACCTTGGTGCTTCATGGCAGGGAAATCTTTAAGAATTTTTAACCTACAGCACTACCTAAAGCAGAACTACTTAGTACACTTTTAAAATATACTCCTGAGTGAGCATCTGGTCTCTAGAACAAAACTGAATGAACACCAGCTACCAGGTTTTTAAGCCAGAAGTCTTAGCTCAGCGATTTTTAAACTTTGAGAACCACTTGAAGGTCATGCTTCTTCTACTGTGAACAAAGAATATACACATGTGAACACATAACTTACACATGATGCCATGGATTCCTTGGACACATCTTTCAATACAGAATGACTTGGTCAGTACCAAATCACAGTTAAGGCAGTGTGAAAGAGAAAGGAAAGCACTGACTTTGCAATCAAGTAGACCTAGGTTAAAATTCTGACTTAACACTACCTCTGTGTTAAAAAGGTATCAAAGTATCAAAGTCCAAAGCAAGGACATAATACTTGATTCCTTCCTTTCCTCAGTGTGATATGACTCCTTTCCTTGCTCTTGCCCTTCTCCTTGTGGTATTACCATTATATACATGGTACACCTTTTGTAGTTGCCCTGCAGTCCTGGGATATTCTGTTCTGTTTTTTTTTTCCCTTTGTTCTCTTTGCATTTCAGTTTTTGAGGTTTCTATTGATATATTCTCAAGCTCAGAGATTCTTTCCTTAGCTGTGTCCAGTCTGCTAAAAAGCCTATCAAAAGCATTCTTCATTTCTGTCACAGTTTTTGATCGCTAGCATTTCTTTTTGGTTCTTTTTTAGGATTTCTTCCTCTCTGCTTACATTGTCCATCTCTTTTAGCATGCGGTCTAGTTATTCATTAAAGCCCTTAGCATATTAATCATAGTTTAAAATTCCCAGTCTAATAATTCCAATATCTCTGCCATGTCTCATTCAGATGCTTACCCTGTCTCTTCAAACTTTGTTTTCTACCTTTTTTCAGTTATGACTTATAATTTTTTCTTGATAGCCATGCATGATGCACCAGGTAAAAGGAACTATTGTAAAAGGCCTTCAGTAATAAAATGGTGAGAGGTGGGGGAAGGTAAAGCATTCTATAGTCCAATGGATTAGCTCTTGGGCTTTTAATGATCATGTGCCTCTGGACTGTTAACTCACAAGTGTTTCTTGATTTTTTTTCTCCCCGCTTGGATGGATCAGGATGGCTAAAGTACCTGGAGTTGGGTATCTGCCTTTTCCCATGTGGAAGACTAAAGTTGGGAGTTTCCCTGCCCCGCAGGTCAGTTAAGCTCTAATAATACCCCGGCAGGTTAGGTTCTGGTTACCTGGTTTCTCCTGAGAGCAAGCTTTGATGAGTAGAGCAGAGTGCTCTGGCATATGTAAAAATGGTTCCTTTTCCCCTCCTCCTGATGCAAACACAAGGAGATTTTTCTCAAATATTTACTGTGAGAACTTGGTCAAGGTCCTGGAGGTAAATCCCACAAAAGTGTGGAAGGCCCCCCTATACCTGCTCCTCTCCCCGGGGCTTTTAACTCTCAGCATTTTATACAATAAGCCTCCAGCAATTCGTCATTAACAATTCAGGCTGTCCTTCCCCAGATTTGTTCCCACGTAGGTTTCTGATCATGGCTTTCTGCCCCAATAAGCTAAGACTCCCTGTATTCACCTGTTTCTCTAATCCTGGGGGGGAGGGGATTGCCCTGTGTCCTCACACCACTTTTATAGATCTAAGAATAGTTGTTGATTTTTCAGTCTGTTCAGTTTTTTCCTTGTTAGGACAGAGTGGTGATTTCCA